ACTTATTGGCACAACAGACATAAGAAACTTGTGGTTTTCACCCAGTTAGGCAACTTCTTCAGTTGGTCACAATCATATAACGTGTCATAAACATATAACTCAAGAAGGAGTAAGAAGAAGGACTTTTGTTACTGAAATCAGTTCCTGAAGTCTGAACATAGTACTTAAGTCAGTGATGACCAATTTGCTGTTGCAGTGCCTGTGCTAGAGACTCATCAGAAGTCTCATCATTAGGTTTGATGAGCCTCTTTCATGGACCCTGCTGTAGGTGCCGAAGTGCTTCTCTGGGTTCTCCCTGACTTCTCCCATCCCTGTTTTAATCTTAATTTACAAGCAAAGCATTACTATTGAAGAAACTGAAGGACCTCGATCTTTCATTCATATCTGCATTAAGAGAGATGCTCACATCAGAGGTGAGGTTCCAGGTTGAAAATAATTTCCAAGTAGTGCTGGTACTGACATTCCTGTCTTTGCAGAGCTTTTAAGTATCTTAAGTGTACACAGTCTCTCTGTCTGTTAGGCACCGATGCCAATTACTTTAGAGTAAAATACAAGTCCCTGCAAACAAAGACAGAGATTGTGTGTCACTCTTCATACAGTGGTGTGGTGTAATGCAACTAATAAATAGCATGATCTCTTCTAGTAGGGACAGGACCGCTGACATACTGGCTGCACTTTTTAGATGCTCTGGTGACCTCAAAACAGAACATCTTTCTGGACTGTGGAGCCAGTTATTTTCTGATGTTTGTTTTGTTGGTATTGTGTTCTGCTAATTCTATGGTTCAACTGGGTATTTAAAAGAGACTATAAACATGTTCAGATGAGATGATAGGAAAGAAATGTTTCCTTGTTAGCTGAAGAAGCTAAATAGGTTTACAAGATACAAACATATGCAACAAAAAGCCATTTCATATTAATGGCAAATAACCGGCACAAAGAATATGTGATATCAATTAAGTGCACACATGTCCCAGGTAATGCAAAGAAATGTGAATCAATGCACAAAGAATATCTCCTTGAGACTTCTTCAGCTGGCTACCTCAGCTACCACAGAGGTCTTTCCTTTACATGCTTAGTGTGTTTTTTTTCTATTGATTGCATTACATGTTTCCAGTGTATCATTTAGGCAGCCAGATCTCTACTTCCTTGCATTCATATCAGGAGGTAAAACATATCTAACAGTTACCAGGTCTGAGGCATTTCATGCTTATTCTATGAACTTGTCTATACTTCAAGAAGACAAAGAGAACAGACACAGAAAATATATGAGCTAAAAGACAATCTCTGTCCTCTATCTGCATGTAATTTGGGAAGGAAACCTCTCAGGGAAAATTCAAAGAAAATATTCAAAATTAATAAAAAAGAATAGCCTACACTTAAAATAAGAAAAGATAAGCCAGAAAAGATCTTTAGGACCAAAAATACTCATAATCTTAAGATTTGACTCTGAATACTGTGATTATCTAAAAAAGTAAAAAAAAAAAAAAGCATAGGCACAAAGAAGTAATTAGACTATAAAGGATATAAATCTATTTCAAGTTTGCCAATTTAAGCTAGGACTGATGAAATTTTAATGCTTATGGGCAAACAATCGTTTCTATGTGAACTGTCAGCCCTCCCTGCCCTCAGCCTGTTTGCCCAAGACCAGCCGGGGATGACACGCCGCAAAGGCAAGCTCTGGAAGTCTGTAACCTCATTATTTGTGCTACCATTCTGCCCCATCATCTGATGGAAAAATTCCTATCCTTATTTAATGGCTGATATTATCACTCCACAACAGATTGAGTTGGACCGTGCTGCAGTGCTGCTGAACAGTAAAATCAACTAATAACAAACTCAGAGTGAAAGAGTGAGAATAAATCTCTTCTTACAATATTGTAATTACATTCCATAAGAGTTAGTAATTTGAGCCTTACAGTCTGGATGTTTTTTTTCCATTTACCTATGAAATTAAAATCATGCAGAGAAACTTGTTCAAAGTTGGTTTTTGTGTGACTTACTCTGCAGTGGTGACAGCCATTTATAATCGGTGGAGACTGAGAGGGCAAACCGTGAAAGTATTGAGACAAGCACATAATGCAGTGACAGGCAAGTGTCCTAAATTGAACTCAGATTTTGCCGTCTTTGCCAGCACTACAGGTCCTACTCTATAAATCTCATCACAGTCATGTAAATATTTGACTGCTACTGCAAGTTTATGTACCAGGTGCAGGTGCCCAGGTTGGTGGTGGGGCCTGCAGGGGTGGCCCCTGTGAGGAGCAACTGGCTCCAACGGCCCCACCACAGGCCATGGCTAAGCCCCTCAGCCACGGGCACCTCAGGAAAAGCCTGGGTAAGAAAGGGCAGAAAATGTTGGGCAGAGAGACAATGAGGGAACAAAAAGAGCGAGAAACAGCAGAGGAACACTAAGGTTGAAGGAGGAGGAGGAGGAGGAGGTACTCCATGGTGGAGCAGATATCCATGCTGCAGCCCATGGAGGACCCACGCTGGAGCAGGTAGATGCTCCTGAAGGAACTGTAGCCTGTGGAGATCCCACGCTGGAGCAAGACAAAAGCGTGAAGGGAAGGAGCAGCAGAGAAATGTCTGTGTACTGACCAGCCTCCACCCTGATTTGTGCTGCCTGGGGGCAGGTAGAGGAGTCTGGAGTGAAGGAGTGAAGCTGAGTTTGGGAGAGAGGGGAGGAATGGTATGGCTTTAATGTTTGGTTTTGTTTCTTACTACCCAATACTCAAATCTATTTTAATTGGCAATAAATTAAATTAATTTTCCTCATGTTGAGTCTGCTTTGTCTATGACAGTAATTGGTAAGTGATCTCCCTGCCTTTATCTCAACCCACGAGCTTTCTCATCCTATTTTCCTCCCCCATCCCACTGAGGAGGTAGAGTGAGTGAGCAGCTGGGTGAGTGTCTGGCCCATAGCCAAGGCTAACCCACCACAGTTCATCTGTCAGGGTCGAGTCAGGCCCAAAAAATTCTCTTCTTTTTTTGTGCATTTTTAGAAGAGAGATATTTGGTGATTTTAAACTCTCTAATTATGTGCAGGTATGTGTACACACAAGCACATCCACATTTACTACATGCATTCTGCAAGGGAATCCAAAATGTGCCCCTTCAGAAAAAGAGGTGGGGAAAAAACCACTCTGGCAAAAAAACCCTGAACAAACCAAAACCCAATCAGAATTAGGACAGTAAAGCTTGATTTCTGTTAACACTGACACTGTAGTGTTAAAACTCAGATATTGATACTTGTTCACTTGAGAACTTCAGTCTTTTTCTTCTAGAAAAAAAGCATTTACAGTTATGGGTCAGATACTGCAATGGATACGTTACCGAAACATAACATAGGGTGTCACTGTGGTTAAAGCTGCAAAACAATACTTGGATTTTGACATGAAGGAAGAAATCTTAGGGAGAGGACAGGGGAAAGATAAACCTACTGCCTCTTTTGATAGCTGCCTCTCATGCGTCACCTTACAGAACTACATCCATGCTTGTGAAGGAAAGACAGCGCTGCACCAAATATGGCACATACAAGACAGGAAAAACAGCACTGAAAGTAGGTGTTTCCTATTAAAGTGGTGTGACTTCTCAACTCTGACTTGGGATATTTGCTTAGCCATCCCTTCAAATGCAGAAAAATACGTTTGTATTCCTCCTAAGCTACACTATAACTAAAAGCCCCAGGACAGTCTATGTCCCAGCACTTCCTGATACCTTTCATTGGCACCTCTTTTTCCTACAGGAAAAAGGCTGGCTTTTCCTTGAAGGTTTTATTTTCTTTTTTTTAAATTTGCTTATTCAACAGCAGTACTCTGGCTCCATCATTTTACTCTTCAGTCGATAACAAACAGCAATCAAGTATGACATTACATGAGAACTAATTTTTACTCAAGTAATAGCAATACCTCTAGGACCTCACTCTAATGATTTAAAATATTTTAAAATACTGCTGCATTGTATCTCAGATTCATTCCTGAGCAGTGGCAGCATCCCTACCTTATTGAAAGACAACTGAAATGTACATTAATTATATTTTCTTAAAAACATGTCCTAGCTAATTACAAGCCTCACAAGGGAAGAGGGAGAAATTACAAAATCCCGCTTCCTCTGTTTCTTGCTTTAACTGCCAGGCCACCTTTCCTTACTGTTTTACAGCATAGTGTCTTTCCCATGTGCATGTTTTGCTTTTTTATAAAAGATCTTACTCTCATCTTTCTCCATGGGCGCTTGCAGAAAGATATAAAGATAGAGAAGGAGAAGTGAGGATTAAGTGACAAGTATACAGATAGTTTTACTCCAGATTGCATGCTAAATTCAAATTGCAATCACTTTCTTACAAATTCTGAAACACCTTGTTCTAGATGTACTTATATGTTGGATCTATTTGAGAATAACTGAAAGGAGGACAACAATACTTGTAAATCATATTGTGAAATGGTGAAAGGTTTGCCCAAATCTTGAATTAAATGAAATTCTCAAATTCAGCATATTATTGGGTATACTAATAGGTATTACAATAACATCTGGACCACGCAATAGCAACATTCGAAATTTACTATAAAATTTTTACGTATCAAATTAAATTGTTATTGTGAAATATTCTCTAAACCCAGAAAATGGTCTTATACAATACTTAAACAAATACACAGTCCCCCAGATTAAAGCACTCATGAGTCATCTCCTGGAAGCACAACAGCAAAAACTTTTGAAAAGACAATCAATCAAACAATAATGCAAACCTCTCAGAGGATCCAGCTTCATGGGGGAAAGAATATCAATGTAGGTACAGACAGTCACTGACTGGCATTTTCTGTTTTTCAGATAAATGAGGACAATTTACAGTAAGTTAACATGGACAAAACAATGTCCTCAGAAGCCTAAGCATGCAAGCCTTTCTCATTTAACTGGTACTCTGCAAAGGCAGAGTGACTTGGCAAAATCAGAACATGTTATTTAAAAGAAAGCATTAACTACTGGATTACATTTCCTTGAATACCTACCAAAAGCTGTCCAGCAAAGCAGATAAACAAAATGAAGGAAAGCAAGAGAAATGCAGTCCCAAATGAAATTCCAAGAATAGATGTTCTACAAGAAAAGGAAAACATGTATTAATTTTTATATTACACATTTGTAGCATGACCTTTCTTTGTGTATAATATTGATGATATGAAAAATTACCGTGTTCAAGTTGCAACTTCCAACCGTCAACACCATGGAAAAACAATCCCAATCCTTACCAGAATGTCAGACCTTTTTCCTGCCACTTTCTCAACTCAGGACTGCTTGAATTGGCTTTACCTCTGACTTTGTGAAATTATTACTGTGAGAAGACAATAATTTCCACACAAATAATTTAAATGACAGTGCATTAACAGCAGCAATGCTTTGTTTTTACCTTAGAAAGCCTAAAGGCTTAAAGAAGATCCTTATTGCTTTATTTTCATGCTGCTGTTTTTATAATAATTTAAGAGTCTAACAGACATACAAAATAAACTTGTCGGTAGTGCACATTCCCTCCAAAGGTACAAAAGTAACAGCATGGGACAGCGATGTCCGGTTTTCAGTGTCTCACAGCTAGAACGTGTGTCATGCTGCAGTCCCTGAGTCAGCAAGGGCCCTAACATAGTGACTGCTATTTCATGAATGGATAGAGATTCAACACCTCTGAAACCTTCACTCTGTATCAAAATTGACTGGCTGGCCAGTAGATTCTGAAGTACTGGAGGACAGGGTAGGAAGGAAAACTAAACACTATGAAGAAAAGACAAAACAACAACAGATTTTAAATGAAAAAAAGTGAGTAATCTATACTCTTCCTGAAGTCATCTTTACTCAGTGTTCCAGCTCATCCTTTTCTTGTGTGTTATAAATAGGAAAGTCTAGCCAAAATAGCATCACTGCATACTCAGTAAACAGAAACAGGGATACAGTAACAATCTGTGCATGCATTCATTCCGGAAATGTGGAAATCTCTCTATATGAATACCACAGTAGAGTGTAATTGCTCCATCAGGCACTATATGAGAGCTACTTAGCATGGCTGCCTAGGG